TTATCGCATCATCGGAAATAAAGGAAATACTTATGTGCTGTGGTTCAGTTAGAACACGCTGTATACAAGCTTTCTTTAATCAACAATGTACTTTCCGTTATTATTAACAATTGTGTTTCATCATTTCCAAAGTTTTTTCGCACCATTTTCGTAAAATGCTTTTTGATGAAAGGGTTTGAAATGCACGCTTCAACTTCCTTAAAACTGTTTAATTATTTTTGTCATTTAAATAATTTTATGATTAAAGAAGGCCTTTTCAAGGTCTTCAAGAATATTTATTTTAGCGCTCTCGAAACAAACATTATTTTCTCGCCAACCCAATAATTAAGAATGAAAAATTTAAACAAAATAAAAAAATCTACCTTGACTGAGTTGCTATTACTGAAGAGTCTCGATGAGCGTCTAACATTAGTACCCTGCAACGTTGGTGGTGCAGGTGTTGGAGTAGTAGGTGTAACTGTTACAATATTGGCGCTATTACTCGTATTTCCTGATTGTGAAAATACTGGTTTCCCTTGCTGTAAAGGAGTTTCTTTTCTTGACATTAATTGCTAGAAATTGAAATATTTTGCACATAATTTAGTACATTTAATACATATTTATGAATTTGATGATTATTCAAGTCTTACCCCTACATGAGCCCTTAAACTACTGACACGTTTTGCTAAACTTTTCTGATCATTAGTTTCTGTAAGAGTGGTATGTGAAGGTAGAACTGTTGGTTCAGGTGTATTATTTTCCAGTGGTAAAATACCAAAACTTGGGGTAAGAGGACTCATTGTATTATTGAACATGCTACGACATCGTGGAAATTTAACTCTTGGTGATATTGAAGAACAATGACTATAATATGTAGGTAAACTTTGTGGACTTTCATCTACAGTAGAATGTAACCGTATACCAGGTCCAACTCCATTTATTATAGTTGATGCTGTTGTCATTTGTGCAGGAGTACTGTGACATATTTATATATTATAGTAATATAATGTAAAGATAATTAAATACTATAATAATTATATACTTACACACTAGTGCCATTTGTAGTAGGTGTACCGTTTGAATTATTAGCAGGTACAATGAGATCAGATTCAGTAGCATAAGTGGGAGTAGGTATACTACCATGGCACATTGTAAAATTGTCTAACTTATCCAATTGAAAAATTTTTGTAGGATCTACCACTTCTCCAACATTGCACAATTCTTCGAATGAATGCCAAAGAAATGGATTTAACTTCAAAGCCAATTTATGTGCATCATTTCCCTTTGCTGTACGCATCATTTTATAATAAATCTTTGCTATAATCTGAAGTGAAAAACATGCATGTTCACCAAATTGAGTAGCTATTTCCTCCAAATTTTTTAACTGCTTATAATATCCTCCAATTATCGCTGCTTCTGCTTCTGCATATCTGGAAATTTTTATATCAAATTACATAGTTAAATCAAAATAACAAAATGGAACAATTTTGTACTCACTTCTCTAAATCATAACAACATTTAGCTAAAAGAAATCTACATTGTGCAGAATTTGGAGCTTTTTTGGAAAGTAATGCATAAGCTTGTTTAACACGACCTGATCGATAATAACATGTTGCCAAAAGAAATAAAGTGTCTTCTGTATCAACTACAAAAAATATTTCACATATTAATACAATGCTATAATTAAATACATGGATAAATTAAACATTATAAAAAATATAACTGAAAAAAAAGAACTTACCTTCTGCACATAATCTTTCTGCTAAAAATATTGCATCTGGATAAGCATAATGATTTAAACAATGCCATATGGCTGCCTGTAATCATATGTACCACAATGTTTCAACAAAACAAATGTAAGTACTTAATGATAAAAATATTTTACAAATACATAAACATGTATCTAATATTAGTATAATTATCAATGTACAAAATAATATTCTTAAACCCACAAGAATGTATAGATTTGAACACGAAATTCGAAAAGTCGTAAATGTCGTAAACTTTTATACTTATTTATAGTCATATCCCCTCTTATTTATGTCCATTTCGCAAAAGCAAACAACCCCAAAGAAGTTCACCCTCGCGTAAAAATGTATATAATATAATATTAAGTAGTGTTTTGATAACCTGATAAAAAGCATATCACGAAATAAACAAAACAATATAAAATATTACATAAAACTTAAAATCAATAATCCGTTAAGAAACAAACGTTCATATAAACGGTTTCGATCTCTTGTGTCAGTATCAATAAGTGCGGATGCACCTGGATAGAAAATCGCACGTCACTGGCAGTCTTTTCTCAAATATTGTTAATTTTACCTGCACTGGCTCCTGTACAATCATCATTCACACAACAGGCTTGGTCATATAAGAATAATCTCAATTGTTTCAAAGAAATTTAACGAAGAAAATCCAAAGTCGAATGATTGCTGTATATAAAAATTTCTTAGGAGTCCATCTTTGCTCCGATTCTTTTAAAGTGAACTACTGACTTCAGAGCAAAGGTTTACCAACGTTAGAGAAATGTCACTCTAGCAATTTGATAGAAGTATTCGTACAGTCTATAACTACCTTTAAGAATTAAATACCTATTACAATAGATAAACTTGTATTAGAAATATAAATTTTGATTTGCTTGCAAGCATCGATCATTTAAAATTTTCTTCAAAATTTATAGACATAAAGAAACTAAATTTTCAACAGTAACATGTAATACGTAATTGTTTAAACGTCATTTGAAATTCGCGTAATAGAAAAACTCTAATTTAAAAAGGTATCAAGTTATAATTAATTATTACTTAATTACATTACCATAAAATCTTATTTATTAACACTGCAAATTCGTTTATTATTCCCATGTATTTCATTTCAATATTGCATCATATTAACATTGTATCATACAAACAAATTTTGAAAATTCCAATAGTTCATTATATTTGGTTGGTAACATGTCAAGAAACTTTAGATAAAAGTCTTACTATTGATGAAAAAATTGCGAAATAAAGTATTAAGTTTAAAATTTTTAAGCGTGATAATGTATATATTTATTACTGATACAAACAAACAATGAGGTATCAAATGACAAAATATTTTAAGTAGAATTTGTGTTTTATAATTTTATTTCTAGCAAAGTAATATTTAAAATTGTGCAGTATATCTAGTAAAATATATCAAATATATTTTTCAAATTACGTTTTAGAAAAGAAGTATTGAATTAATTGAGATATTAATAAATACATATATTATGTTAAAACATTCTTTATTTTACATATACATTGCTGGCCATAATAAAATGTTGCAAATTTATTGAGGAAATCCAACCAATTTTATTTTATTTAATAGTCTATGTTATAAGGCACACATAAATTGAGTGAAATGACAGATTTATGATTAAAATCGAAATTTTGCTTTATATTTTATTTTCGTCGATATAACCGCCACGTTTCTTGATGACGGCTTTCACAAGTTCTGGCATTCTTGAAGTCAGTTCCCATATGGTGTCTGTTGAAATTTCATTCCAAATGGTTTGTGTTTCCACAAATCTCCTTTTGACGTTTGTCCCATTCCTTGTACTCTATGTTTGAGCTCATCCCATATTTTCTCTACAGGGTTGAGGTCAGGTGATTGTGGTGGCCAGTCCATAATTTATGTGTTATTACTATCTTGTAATTGTAAGTAGTCTTTGCAAATTTTTGACGTGTGTTTAGGGTCATTGTCATGCATAAAAATGAAATTTTGACAAATTAATGTTGTTCCATAAGGTACGGCGTGATTCTTCAGTATTTCCAAGTATTGTTTTTTTTTAAATGTCGTCAATTTTTATCAAATTTCCAGTTTTATTGGAACCAATACAACCCCACACCATTATGACACCTCCTCCATGCTTTACAGTATGTGCTATGCACTCGGGATTTACTATTTCATCGAGTATCTTATGAACGTGTACACGCCGTTTTCCTCCGAAGATTTCAAATTTGGACTCGTCCGTCCACAGTACGTTTTTCCATTCTTCTTCCGTCCAATTTTATTACCTTTTTGCCAATTCTAATCTTTTTTTCTTATGTTGTTGCCTTAGAAGTGGTTTTCTTTCAGCAACACATCCCCAAAGACCCACCTGGCGAAGTCATCTTTTCACCGTCGTCAGAGAAATCGGTGTATTTCGGTTCATATTGATTTCAGCAGCTAATTCTGACACACTTGCGTCTATTCCGTTTGCTTAATGTTTGCAACAAAGGATCTTCACCAATAGTTGTCTTTCTTGGACGACCTGATCGTTTTTGAGATAAACAACTGACTGTATTTCTGAATTTCTTCAATGCGTATTCAGACTTAGAGATAAGACTTAGAGATACCAGTTTTTTCTGCTTTTTCCCGTATTGAATGTCCTTCTTCAGATAATGTAACAATTCGTGAACGTTCTTCTGCCAATAATTCCCTTGTTTTCAACGCCATGATGATCGTACCACTCTTGAAAGAAAACTAAACTCTACGAATCGAGTCCAGAGATAAAAACCTTACTTCTATCTTTCTAGAATGTCATTTGACATTACGCACTACTTAAATATGCCTAACGTGTGCAAAGACCCACACTGCAACTATCTGCGTTTCGTGTATCCGAACAATCCGATGCGAGAAACTATTCGTAGTGAAACGTAAGAGACTCTCGGCAACGACATGATACACACTGTTTACAAATAAAACGCAACAAATTTACAAATTAACCATATATTTGACAAATACTTACAGTTGAACAAGTATTTTAATCGAAACCAGAAAATAATATATATTGTTCACAAATAAAAGGCAATGATAGCACATCTTGCACAAATACAGTAGGTGCTGTAATACTTATGGCCGGCAGTGCATATGTGTGTGTGTATGGTAATTATGTAAGGATTTATTCACATTCTTATTAATGTATTATATTAGAACACAATATAAATATACGGTTATTTTACAGATTTTTATGAATAACAAAACAAAACAAAAACTATGTAAAATTCTACTTTGCAAGGATGTATTGTCTAGTTCACCCTTGTTTGCAAAGAAGTTTGTGTCTGACATCAAAAACCAAGTTGAAGTTTGTTTGCATTTGTATTGGCTTTGTTATGCTGCTTGATTTTTTTGGAGCATTTACACATTTTTTTGAAATTACCTATGATTCAAATTTTGTTTATCCATATGAAGGTGATGTACATGAATTTGTAAATGCATTACGACATAATGAAAAGCCTGCTATTGATCCTATAAATGAATATAAATATAAGTTTGTGATCAATAATCCACAAAAATGCATAGATACTGCATATAACACTTTTCGTGTTGTGTATGTAGTAAAATCTGCTATAGAAAATTTTGAGAGAAGATTAACAATTAGGAATTCCTGGGGTTTTGAAAACAGATTTTTTGATGTACCTGCAAGAACAATTTTTATGTTGGGTGTACATCCACATGATGATGAACTTCAAGCAAGAGTAAAGATTGAGGCTGCAAAATATAAAGATGTGATACAAGCAGATTTTATTGATTCATACTATAATAATACTATTAAAACTATGATGAGTTTTAAATGGTTAGTAAAACATTGTCCTAATTCAAAATTTTATATGTTTGTTGATGATGATATATATGTTTCTGTAAAAAATGTTTTAAGATTTGTAAGAAATCCAGCTAACTATCCAGATTATCTAAAAGAACCTAAGAAATTTGGTGCTCATAAAAGAACAATTAAAGACAGTGATAAAAGTGAAGAATCTAGTAGCAACAGTAATACACGAGAAAGTATATATAATTCCAATAAAAAAGATTTATTTGTTCATGGAAAGTTAAAAGAAACAACTTCTGCAAATCTAATTATTCATAGATTAAAACAAAATAATTATAACAAAACATTAAACACAATTTCTTTAGTTAACGATTTTAAACAAAATAATAGTATAAAATTAGAATTGGTTAACAAAGAAAATATGCAAAATGGATATACATTGAATAGAACAAAAAGGCAAATTTTTGATTTCGAACTTCCAGAAGATGTTAGATTATTTGCAGGATTTGTATTTGTATCTTCACCCCATCGCCATAAATCTTCTAAATGGTATGTTCCTCTTAGTGAATATCCATACCATTTGTGGCCACCATATATTTCAGCTGGTGCATACATACTGTCTAAAGAAGCTTTTTTGGATATGTATTATACTAGTTTTTATACTAAGCATTTTAGATTGGATGATATTTTTTTAGGCTTAGTTGCAAAAAAGGCACATATTGAACCTTTTCATTGTGAGGAATTTCATTTTCGTAAGAAGGATTATACAAAATTCAATTACAAATATGTAGTAACTTCTCATGGATATGGAAATCCAAATGAATTATTGAATGTATGGAATGAACAAAAAGGTCTTGGTAATGCTTAAATCTCTAATTAGTTCTAAAACATTTTTATTATAAATCTTATTTTAATATGAACAAAATTTTAAGTGTGTAAAAATAAAAGTATCTCATGCTCCAAATGTTTAATAATTAATATTTCAATATGTTATTCTAAAATCATAATTGTAATAAGACATAAAAAATCTGATTCAAATTATTTATCATATGATGTATACTATTCTAATATTTTCTTATAAAATTCGTTTAGTATAGAGTACATTTAAAAGCAATTCTGAGAACAAACATAGATACATAAATCAGTTTACATGCACCTACATAACCAGTTATTATTTAACAAATATGTAATAGATTGTTCTTATTTAAGTAAAAAAATTTCTAACTAATATTAGGATAAATTATAGTTATAATGTTAGGACAAGTTATAATTAACAGTAATATAAACATTAAACATATTTGTTCAATAAACGTTATTACTTCATAAACCTCATTAAAAAGGAAAGAAATGATTGGATAAAATCATTGTATCCTAAAAATCAAGATACAAGTGTATTATAAAATATGTTATGTAAATGTGACAACAATTTTTAAAACTAAGTTACAAAATTTTAAAAAACGCAGTTTGTATTTTGTAATCAATAACTTTGTTTTTATTTGTATTTAAGAGTTTAATAAATATATTTATTCGTTTATTTAATATATGTGCATTTATTGTTGATACTGTTGTTTATCCATATTGGTTTTAAGTAATTTTTGATCTAGACTTGTAGCTTCTCTCTTGACCACATTTAATAAAAGCTGTGAACTTTCTAAAATCTGAAATAATAGTACATTTTATATAAACTTTATAATAAAAATTTAAACGATTCAAAAGCATTTAGCATTTTATTATAATGGTACAAACAAATCCTATTGTAAATCTTGGTTTGCTTTTACAAATATGAAGCATTTATTAAATATAGAAAAAGTATTAATGATAAATGAGAAAACCTTCACATATGCCGTTTCTGTATCCGTAATGATTCTATCATACTCATTTTTAACAGCTGTTCTTTTAGTTAAACTGTCATTTAAGCGTGTTAATTTACAAGACAATTTTTCTATTTCTCTTTGTAAATTACTTTTCTCTTCTGCTTGAGAGTCTATTTCAGCTTGTAACTCTGTACGCCTTAATTTCATATCTTCTAAAGCTAAACAAAATAAAAAATTAGCAAAGTCGTATTACAAATTTAAATATATAGACGTATAACCTAGAAATTTATAAATGCCACAATATTATTTTATAAAGATTCATAGTTAAATCTTTCTCTATAAAGGAATTAAGAATTTAAAAAAAATTTCACATAACTACATAAATTATAAACAAACAAGTTGCTTTTCTACTATAAAAAATTCACTAATAATTTTCTATTTAAACTGTTCAAATAACTAATACTTAAGAATCTAACCAAATTCGGTTTTGGCGCGAGGTTTATAAGAAATCATGTTCAATGCATACGTAATTGTTAAGATGACATTATTGATTATAATTTAAAAATCACCGTTTAAATTTATTTCTAATGAAGATAAGGTATATATAATAACAAAAATTTGTATTTATACAAAGTATTTTTGAAATAACTTTATAAAATAACATTTGGTAACCATTTCGTAAAATGCTATAATATTAAAATCTGTTTCAACCAATAATTTGTAAGCTTTATTCTATAAAGTACGTACTCGAAATCGTGATACAACTGAGATGAGGATTCATCATGCAAAAGTAAGACGAAAATTAGAATGAAATATATTTTTAATTTTGAAAAAATTGAGCTTAAAAATTCGTTACATACTATACAGGGTTTAAATTTTAACGCAAAAAGGTACGCCTTTCATTAAAAAAATTCAAAGTTATCCTGATATCTCGTAAACAAATAGGTTATTTAAAAAACCCCGTTTCAGCATCATATATTTCCTTCAGTACCGTGAAATTTCTATATAAAATATTTTTATAGAATACACACTTTAGAAGTTATTCGGAGCGGAAAAGTTATGTGACTCAGCCTGTATATATTTTTAACTTTTTCTACATATCATTTTATCATAGATTATTTTAATCCATGCTTGATGTTTATAGGCATTAACCGCGATGTTGAAAACTATTTCCAACTAATTGGAAAAATTAGAAAATTGGTAAAACATTAGAATACATTTACGTTTTTTAATTTGTCGAATAAAATTCTGTGCGAAAAACGTAGGAAGCATTGTAATAATATTTATCACATAATAAAATGAAAATATGGAAATATTTTATTATTTAAGATACGTCATTTTTGCTTAATTATTTCGGTGTATCCGTAATACTGATTTAGTACACTTGGACGCATTATTTGACACACTACTTAAAGTAAGAGTAAATTTAAAAATGAAATAATTTTTAAGCTACTAGTTTTAGAGCATGAGTACCGTAATCCTTTTTTTATAGAGAGTGAAAAACTTTTCGAATACTCAATATTATAAGATTCTATTTAAGAAAAAGATGTAGTTGCACTTTTCTGATACACCTATGTAGAGAAGTGCATAAAAGTAATATTGAGATATGTAGCATCTATGTGTAATATCATTCAACTTTGCTTCGTGACAGATTTTTGATCTCCAACCACTTGAAAAAGATAGCAGCTACATCTTTAAATATTATCCCTATATTATATATCTTGCCTTAATTGCGTGAGCCACCCTGTATATACATCATATCATAATACATCGAAATAATATTAATAAATTAGAATTTTTGCAATACACTCAATTTAATAAACTTCAAATTTACTCAAATATTTTTGTAATTCATTGAAAATGTCAATTAATAAACCACATTATATATATGTACATTGCAATGTACATACATCATACGCGTTATATTATGTTATATTTTTATATGATTAATTAATAAATAAATGTTTATAATAGTAACATTACATTATTTTTACAACTCCCTTTTATTGTGTAAAATGTAGAACTTTATGAAATCATTTAGTAATCAACATATGTTTTGTAATAATAAAACGCAATACTGTATAAAACAATGCATCTTTTCGCATTGCCTTTTAGAGGTGTCGCACGAAGCGTTTTCATCTAGTGAGGTGGAACGAATGAACCTTTCGCTCAGTAGAATCACACGTGAAAGCCTTGTCAGAAACGTGAACAGTTGCGTTCTATCCACACCTGTTGATTGAACGTGTATAAATCAATATTTTCCAGACAGTTTTTGGGATCATTTTGCGTGTGTTTTAAAACATAACTGTTCTATTAAAGTGTTTTAATATAGTGAAACATGCTCCAAATAGTACCGCTAATACTAATATATCTAAAATCATACATTCGTTATGTGCCAGCATTATTTTATGTTTAACTAACATTTCTCGACGGAAAAAACGCATTTTGTCCATAAAAAAGCAATTATATAAACATTATTTACATGGATCTTCAATCTTGAACCTGCAAATGAAATTTGCTTTCAAAAAACCTTACTATGACTACTACAGGTATGATATTTATAAAAATCACTCTTACTGCATACATTATAAACGAAAGTACATAATTGTGTTGTAATTTATACTCTATTTCTCCATATATATTTCTTAATTACGAACAAATTGTATCTTTACCATCTATCAATCAAATCGATGAAAATAAACATAAATTGAAAAGCAATATGTATTTGGTTCTAAGCTGACACGATTCACAACGCTTGCGCAGATAAACCTTTCAACTTTATACTTCGAAATTTTCATAATATACAAAAGTACATTTTTATCGAATAGTGAAATAAAAAAGGAAACGAATAAAAAATTGAAATTATTTAATGGAATAATGAAATAAAATATTGAATAACATCATTTTCATGTTAATTTTCAGTATTGTCCATTTGGTTAATGTATATGTATAAATCGAGTTTCTGTTTTAAATAAAATTTAACTATTTAAATATAAAATGTAATAAATACATATCGACAAACGCAATTTGTAGGTTAAAAAATAAAAATCATTTAAACCAAGGATCAGAATTATATTTAAAATAATCCTTTCATCGATTAGAGATGTACATGACCTTGTTAAATGAGCTCACGTTACTAAATTCGGACTTCTCTATCGACGAAGATGTTGTCATATGTAATATACGATTGAAGGATTCTATGATAATTACATGTTTTACAATTCATCTGCGAAAGAGGCCACTCCTACATTATTGCCTCCGCATTATTAACAAAAAAAAATACTACGTATATTCACTGTACAATAATTTACTTGCACTTGATATATTTTATTGATCTCATGATAAATGTTAATAAATCAATAAATAAATAAACATATATT